AAGAGATGAAAATAGCAGTGTGACTCTCATTGATGCTTATTTATTTTACATGATTTCTGTGTACTCATTTTTTCTCGATTTATATTTCAAGTTATTTTTGGCCTTTAGTTGAAATGAGTCAAATGAGAATTAAAGTAGTGTGCGGAAATCATTTCTCTGAATTATAAATCTAATAAAATTGGAATAAAGTGAAGGGATCAACAAGTGGACAAAGATATCTGTGTCTCTTATATTTTGATTTCGTTTAAACTTGAAAAGATGCTATATGAAGTGCTTCTTATACACTTAAAGTCTCTTTTTTCAGTGCAGCCTGCATAAATAGTAAAATAAACATAAAACTTCCTCCACCTCTTGAGATTTTTTTTAAAGTTACAAGTGAAGAAAATGATATATTTTTCCGTATTCCTCCACTTATTTTATAACACCTAGAGTATGCGCTTGAATACCGATCACTTTAAAAAAATTCTCCTCTACGTTGTTGTCTGTCAACCATGTGCGCTGAATCATTTTGCTGGATTCTCTTTGTAAAGTTTATTTTGTCCTTTCAAACCCAAAAAAAAAATTGTTTTGTCCTTTATGTGTAATTATCATTATGTGCATGTACATGCTTTATCTAATAACGTTAGTTTATCAAATAGTTTGCCCTTATAATCGTACCATCTGTTTGAAACAAAAAATTTCACTCAATGGATGATTGAGGTTCACATTGTTAAACTGTTTGATAAATTTACTCATCATAGAATATAAGCTACAAACACATACGTATACGGTCGACCGTACCAACTAACTATATATGTATGTAGATGAGACTATTTTGAGGAAAAACGAATTACATAGCTAAAGAGGTCCTAATTAATCTATATTTCCATGTTCCAATTCTACAATGGCAAGATGATTGCCAAGCTGTGACCCTATGAATCTAGGGTATCTAGTCATGCACAGGAGCATCGAGGCCCATGCAATTCCTTGTCATGCCTAGTCCTAACCCCCCACATTTGCTGCAACAGTAAAATGGCTAAAAATGCTAACAATTAAGAATTGGAAATGGAAAAGCCAATTCAACTTCACGAAGAACGTCCTGATGGGTGTGGTGGGGTTGGGTTTGGTTTGTACGACCGGCTTACATTTTCTGTTGAATTATGTGTGACAGTGATCAAAGTAAGACGTAGCCATTTCCTTGACATCTTCTTGTTGTTGTTCGAAGTTCTATTTTTCTCTTTTTTCCAAGTGAACAGAAACAAAATGATATACAGGAAGAGATAAATACATTGAGAAGGTAGTGATCAACTGATCATGATATGAAACTATTTCAGACTAAATATGGGTTTTCCTGCAGCGACGTTTGCAATCTGAAGAGGCTTTGGAGAGCACGGAGACTATGAAATGGATAGCATTTGCAGCTATTTTTGATTTGATCAGGCCCCTCTTTGGAAGAGGCTTTCTGCTTCTTAAGCCTTTGGGGATTTCAGTGGCTGGAACATCAGACACCTTGCTATTCATTTCGGAAGCTAAGGAAAATTGCAATATTTTTCTCTAGAAGATTTTTTGTTTGATGGATGTCGATACAGTGGCACTGGCCGGTGTTTATATAGCAACCCCAGCTCACTATATGATCCCAAGAATGGGGGTCGATTGACCCGGGAAGGTCAGAGAAAGCTAGAAACAAGCTTTCTCCGACTGAAGTTTGTTAGGGGGCATGCCAGCAAGAGTGTTTGGCTGTGCCAAGATTCCTTTCAGCCCAACTTGAGGTAATTTGAATTTGTTTGTTAACTGACTGCGATTGATTATGAATATTATCATCGATAGTCTAAGCGCCTCTTAACGTGAAGACGCGAACACGTGTGGGTTATCTACGAGCTCGTTGGTGGACCAGGATGGAGGCTGGTCCCTGGTTTTCTCTAGTAGAAAGGCTGAAAGAACCAAGGGAGGACACAGACTCTAAAACAGCGGTAAGCATTTCGCAGTTCATTATTATTATTTTTTGTGTCCTTGTTAACAGATGATTATAGTACTTAAATTGCAACTTGCACTGATGACAGGGAGCAGAATACAATCCATTTATGTACATGTACATTATTTTCTAATGAATATCCTTCTTTCCAGGGAGACTTTGGAAACGTCAAACCCACCATGCTGCTACCTATATAGGTGAAGCCATCGTATTTTTTTATTTGTATATTTGTTGTTGCATCGCATGGCCGAGTAGATTGATCTTCAATAAAGAGATTACTAGCATATAGACAGGGATTGCTGTATTATTCATGACCTGAGGTGGTTTTAACTTATAGGGCTACGCTGCTGCTGTATGAAATACTTCACATATGCTTTGGTACTCTATAAACCTTGTACGAGCAATCATCATGCAGGATTTTCTTAACTAGTAAAGTATATAATGTCCTTTTGTAACCAAGAAAAATGTACGCTTTGTCGTTTATGGATGAACATGTGCCTTTTCATCCTTTCTTATTATGTATGATATATCTAATACCAATCTTTTATCAAATAGTTTGACGTACTATTTTGTCGATCAATGAATGATCTTGATTAACATTGCCAGGCTGTTTGATATCTTTTCTCAATAAACAATGCAAGTACGAACACATCTGCATACAGTCATGTTCTAACAGTTGTAAGATCTCACATCGTTCAAGAAAGTGATCCTTATATGTATATTCTCATCCCTATCTAACACGAGACTTTTTGGGGTCTTACTGGCTTTGGGTTCCGTCGGAACTCCGAAGTTAAGCGAGTAGCGCACGAGAGCAATCCCATGATGGGTAACCCACTGAGAAGTTTTCGTGTGAGTTCCTAGAAACAAAACGGTGAGGGCGTGGTCAAGTCCCAAAGCGGACAATATCGTGCTACGGTGGTGGAACGGGCCTGGGATGTGGTGGACCCCAGGCCGGGATGTGACAATTTCTTCCCAGAAACAAAACTGTGAGGGTGTGGTAGGGCCCAAAGTGGACAATATCGTGCTACGGTGGAGTCGAGCTAGGAATGTAATGGGGGTTCGGGCCGGGATGTAACAACAGTTGTACGCAGATAACATTATTTAGGGAAGAACACGTTTTCATTATTTTGTTTTGTTTTTATTGGAAAAATTAGATAAGGGATTTGTTCAAAATGATACAGGAATAACAAAAATAAGATGATATAGGAAGAGCTAAGTACATTGAGAAAGTAGTGATCAACTGATCATACATTTTAGTTTATGTTTTGAATCTACAATTTCTACTGCTCTAGTTCTCACTAAAAAGGGGCTGTCCTGCAGCGACGGTTGCGATCTGAAGAGGCTTTGGAGAGCACGAAGACTATGGAATGGATGGCATTTGCTGCTATTCTCGATTTGATCTGCCCCCTCCTTGGAAGAGGCTTTCCGCTTCTGAAGCTTTTTGAGATTTCAGCGGCAGGAGCATCAGACATCTTGCTATTCATTTTGTAAGCTTGAGGAAATTTCAAATTTTTTTTCTCTAGAAGCTTTCGTGTTTGATGAACGCAGACATTGGCTGGGTACTTATATAGCAATCCCCAGCTCAGTATATTATCCGAACGACGGAAAGCAAGCTCTTTCAGGCTGATTTTTGTTAGGAAGCATGCCAGCCAGATTGTCTGGCTGTACAAGATTCGTTTCCGTAGTTTAATGCAAATGATTGTCTTAAGCCCGTCTTAACACGAACACGTGCAGGCTATGTTCGAGGTTTTCGGTGGACCTGGATGAAGGCTGGTCCCTGGTTTCTGTTTGGTAGATAGACTGGAAGGACTACGGGAGGACATGGACTTCTCTACAGTGGTAAGGAGTGACTGATTTATTATTATTTTTGTGAATTGGTAATTGTTAACAGATTATTATATTACTTTAATTGCAAGCTGTGTGGATAACAGGGAGCATAACATAATCCAGTTATATATTTCTGATGAATATTCCTTGCTTTCTGGGACACCTTCCCGTTTTTCCTATTCGGTGCTGCATCACTTGGTCAAGCAGATTGTTGAGATGTCCAAACTATTGGAGGGAGGGAGGGATGGAGGGAGGGAGAGAGGCATGACTCTTGTTGGTCTCCTTCCTTTGACTATATTTTGAGAGAGAGAGAGAGAGAGAGAGATAGAGAGGTATGACTCTTGTTGGTCCTTCTTCCTTTGACTACATTGCTCTATGTACTGAATTATATATCATCCATGGAATAAGCAAAAAAAACAAGCCGAGCGCTGCTGGTTTGAGTATGTGAAAGGTTTCTGATTTGAGTTTAACAGATGACAAGTGTGATACGTATGTGAAGCTGACTTATTGTGTAGCTTAGCTCACATTTCTTTCTCTTTGAATTGTATCAAAAGAAAAACGATGGTATGCATGCAGGTGACATCATTATGGAAGAACAAATTGTAATAATCAATTAAAACTATGCTCCAAGAAGTTTAAAATTGCATTTCCATTTTCCAGCTAAACAAGACCAAGATGATTCCCAGGCCAGCAAGACCTAAACCCCTATGAAGTTAGGGTATCTAGGAACAAATAATTGAGACATATAAACATATAAACATAATTCCAAACATATAAACAAATATATCGACAATCCATTGATAAAGCAAAGATTCCATATAGAATTCCCAATTCCTTCAACATAATTGAAACATATAAACATATTGATATTTCATAAATATGTTGTTTATATGCTACATTGTTAGACACTAAGAAGACAAGTGCGAGAATACCTCACATTTTATATCTGGAGTTCCCAATAAATATTCTCATTCACTATGCTAGGAAAACCAAAATTTTTAAATCAAATGAGTGTCATGAATAAGAAGTAAGTGCGTTAATCAATAGTTCATTAATAATCCGATCATCTTCAACCACATCATTTGGTTTGCAAAGTTGGTTTAAAAAATTGGTCTCCCAAACATTACCTTTAGTATAATTAAGGTTTCCATCACAATGATCCCTAAATTATGCAAAATTACTTTAGTCTAAAGAAGGAGGCGAAATTGCACTGTAGAAATGAAAAGTGTTTTTCGACATTTCAGTTTATTTACAAGATTGCCACTATGGTGAAAGCGGCTGGGTTAGTTCGTTTTGGGCTGTGTTTGCTAGGCTTACCTCAATTGTTGATGAGGCATGCCCTTTGGGTGTTCAAATGATGGGAATGCCCATCTAGGGTTAAGATTGGACGGCCCGAATTAAAAGTTTGGAGGGTACTTTTGTCATCTTGATTGTCGGGACTGATTGGGATAGATGGTGAGGGGATTGTAGGGCAGACACGAGGCCATGCCGCCTCTAAGATAGAGATGGAGAGAGGGAGACCGCGAGAATGACTGTCTCGCCTCCATCCTATCCTCCTCTCGCCGCCGTCTCCCTTCTCTCGCCTCCGTCGTCTTACTCCTCCTTTCTCTGTCTCTAGAATCGTTCGCTCTATTCGAAGAGGATCGAGAGTTCTGAAATGGTGTTTAGATAGGTAGGGGGTTGTGCGTGTGAGGTCATGCTTGATGATTGTGGAAGCCAGCGATTCTGCTTCTACGACATAGCCTCGACCCTGCTTCCATCTCCATTTTCTCTCCTCGCCTTTTCTCTCAAAAATCACCAACGAGCTCAAAAACCACCAAGCCGTTAGAAATCTCTTCGATTCTCTCTCTCAGAAACTACGAAGCACAACGACCTCTTGCTGAAAAACCGTGAATATGGTCCCAATTCGAAGGAAATTTTAAGCTCAGAAAAGCCTTGGTATCCTGGTGAGTTCTCCGGCCGATTTGGAGTAGGTAATTTTGTGATTTGCAGTTTATTTTGGGAAATGATTGATGGGTTTGCAGCTCAGTTTACCATTTCCAGAATATTATGTGAAGTATTATTGTCTGAAAAATTAAGTATGCATGTATATTTTATGTGTGTGCGCGTGCACACCTCTGCATGGTGTTAATCTCTTTGGGTCATCTATATATGTGTAGACATATCTCTGTGTGTGTGGAATGCAACATATCAGATTTAGGTTATACTGTGCATAGTTTTATTGTCTGTTGTTATTTGCGCTATACCATTTCTATGCAGGCTCTGAAAGTTATTCATGAGCTTTATAAGCACTTTCCATAATTTAAGCAGTCTGTTTTGGGTTCTTTTTCATTAGGTCATTAGCAGCTGATTAATGGAGAAACGAGGACCATGCCATTGCGAGAATTTGTAGTTTGCAACTTTCATTGGTTATTATATTTGATTGAGTTAAACTTGGATTTCTAGATTTTGACTTTTTCGTTTGTTTCTCTGTTGCAGAGTTGGCTTCATTTCATTCCAGTAACTCTAAATAGGTCCAAGAACTCACTGAATAGGTAATTGTCTTATATCTTCTTCTCTCTTTGTGTTTATATTTATTTTTCCCGAGTTGTGTTCGAATATGACAAACAAGAACTACAAAGGCAGCTAAGAATATCCAGCGATCCATTAACAGTTGAACAATTAATTGGCTATATATCTTGGATTTGCAGTTTTTTCGTTTCGGAAACGTGGGAGACTTTATGCATCATGTATATCTGCAATGTATATCCCTTATATATTTATTGTACAAAATATTAGTTCGCTTACACTTTAATTCTATTCATGGTTGTGGTGTCTTTTCAAGGTAAATGGTTTATATTGAAGTCTATTGATACTGCAATTTAATTCTATTCAATAACACTTTTAGTTATTTCTGCTCAAATTTTGGTATCTAGAAACGCTTTTAGCCTTACCAAAGCATCCCAAACACACTCCTTAAGTTGATCAATCATTTGTTTTGTTCAACATGGCAAGTTGCTCTTTAATATTTATGTGTATTTGTTAAAAATTGAATCAATTGATTAGGATGAGAACTTCAGTTTTGGGTTTTGTTCCACAAGGACCCTGGTTGGTCATTTTATCTGTGTGTGAATTTTGTAGTGAAATTAAGGAGTGGATTAAGAAGACCAAGTAAAGAAGAGGCGTGGTTTTGTTTTGATTTTCATCATCCAATATGTTAAATTTATTGTTAATTTCAGGGTATTACCAGCTTTCTGCCGGCTCTAATTCCACACTTCAGAAAGGTATGCCTCTAATTTATGATAAATTTTGCCAGTTTGCTTCTCTTGATTTGGAAAGGTACGACTCCAATTACTTTGTTTTCCAAAGCCATCTTAGCATCTGCATCCCCAATTATAGAACAAAAGTTAATCCAATTGCTAATCTTAGCATCTACATCACCAATTCACCATTATCTTTCGATTTTGAGTGCCTTTATCAAATAGAGGGTAACAATGTAGTTTTATATCTTCGATATACAAATATCAGCACTGTTTTCTTTTCTTTACTAAATACGTGCATAATCTGTGGTTCGTTTGAACTTTGATATATGTCAAACTTATAATACAGGTACTGGGATGTTGTTTGGAACAGAGCTGGAGGTGACAATGTGGTGGAAAAGTAAGTCCTCTTACTTTCCTCCCTACCTACCTAGCATACTACATAATCTTTCCAACTTTAACTAAAATTATATCCACAACTCATTTGCAGGCTACAAGGACTGGATATAGAGTAATGGTTTAATAATGGTTTTAGAATGGTAAATGATTGCAATTAAGTGCAATTGTGGCTTCTTGCTCTGTGTTTGTTTATTGGGATACCTAGTTGTGGTTTTCCTATTGGTCCTTAATGTGAAATGGAAAGATGTTGGCGGTCTTGAGAATGTGAAGAAATCGATTCTGGATACTGTTCAGAACTTCAGGTATGTGCTCTTTGTATCTCTAATGCTTAGCTTTTATGAAGGTAATCCCAATAAGATCCATCGGTTTGGTTCACTTTAGTTTTTATAATTCTTATTTGTTCGCATTTCCTCATGTTCATGCAGGACAGTGCATCTTTCCAAAGACTTGATGGGCGACTACCTTCATTACCTATTCAAGGGGCCACTTTGGCATAACGCTACAGAATAATCCCTTGAATGATACTTAGCTCTCAGTTTCCAAGCCAACCCCCTTCGATGCTGATCAGAGATACTCGCGTTTGCACATTTTCTAGTTAGTTCTAAATCAATAACATATCGTCTTTATTGTTTGACGCTGCACATTAGTGTTTGCTTCCTGTCCTCAACTTCATAAAAAAAACAAACATCCATCACAATTAACACAAAGACGCACATGCAACAAAATAATCGAAACATTGATATGCATATCAAAACATATGGATCATATCAATTATTAAGCAATTTTAAAGTTTGAGAACCAAGTGAGGAGCTTCGCGTGATTTAGAAAGCTACTTAAGACTTTGGAACGCTGCAGCTCAATTACTTGGCGACGCTTGCTACATTTTGCTTTACATTGGAAGGTTTTTCTTCAACTAGACGATTCTATTTCTACAAAGTCTTTTAGCCAAGCAATACCAAGCATTACAAGGACAGCTAAATCACCTGTCAGTCATCATTGCTATCACGACTTGACCATGTTTCTAGCAGCGAGAGAAGAAGCAATGGGCCGAAAACTGGTGGAAGGGGCGGAGGCCTGCTGAAGGCGACCATTGGTTCGGTTTTCTCTTTTGTGACAGTTTCTCCTTCCGCATTATCGTAGTTCCCAAGTTTCTTTGGTGTTGAACTGGCCAACGTACCTGATTATAATACATGACACTAGTCAAACACACAAATTGTTACAACATACAATTCTAATTATAAAATCCTCAAATGAGAGAATATATATTACCCCATGACCCTTTGATAGGGTAGAGTCGTTTGAATTTGATCTTTGAGGGCGATTATGCAGTTATTCCACGCATGTAGGCTATCTTTTTGCTGATCGTTTCACAATGGAATGGTTAATACTACGGAACCGACAATCCTGGAGCAAAGTGATGACATGGAAGATGTGTTAGAAAAGCCAGTTTTTTTTTTTTTTTTATCTCGATGTTCTTCCCAATTCTCCTACACGGATCGACACACTCTATGATCATTCAACGTGAGAGAGTTCAGAAAAGGAAAAAAAATGAGTTGTATAGCACTATCACATCAACAATCATCATGCAAATCGTAAAATTTTGGAGACGGTTGATCAGATTCCTTGAAATTGAAAACCTCATATCGGAAGCATATGTAAAAGTACAACACAAGACAAGACAACGAACAAGAATCCCATGTTCTATAAAGCAAAACAAGATATTAAGGCTTCCTGAAATTTATTATACCATAATTAAACTCCAAAATTAACAATTTTCGCGCTTCTTTTGTTCATTCGCACTCTCGTCCCCTTCTTTTTATGCTTCGATTCTCCTTTTATGCATTCAATTATCAAAGCGCGGTACCGTAAGGGAGGAGTGCAAACGGATAAAACGAGAGAGTGAAAATCGCCTCCTGATAGCGTTAACACAACATTTAAATGCAAACTAGAAAGAAAAATGAATATATATTTAAGCTTCAATTGCAACCAAGGAATTAGCGTAATATTTTGACTAAAATGTTTTAAGTAATAGAAAGTGAAAACTTGATAGTACGTTCCTAGTTGATCAAGTTAAGAATTGAAACAATAAACATTAAAAACATAATAAAATCAGACAGACAGTTAATTTCCAATGACTCGAAGAACGTACGGTTAAGTAAAAATTATGGAAAACTATAGAATGATGAATGAATCTTAAAGTTCGTTGTTGTGTTCAATTAACCAAATTAACCCAACAAAGTAATAGAGGAGAGATACTAATTAAGATTAGAGTTTGGTCTCGTACCTGCCTGCTGTGCTTCTCTTGACCTGCAACGAACATCGACACAAACGAAGAGAGAGAATTATGCGACAACGTTGTGGATGTGGTTCCTGTTCCAGAAGATATGGATGGCCAAAAGAAGGTTCAGGAAGTTTCAAGTTTTGAGTGGACTCGTCGTCGGACAGATAAGGCACCTATAATGGGGATTTGGATCCTCACTCGAGCTTAAGAGGCTGAGCCTCCTAAGCAAAGCGCAAGGACCGTTAGATTTTGATCTAACTGCTATAATTATTATAACTTTTAGATGATTCTCCTATTTGTAGTCGTTCAGGAGGCTTAGCCTCTTAAGCTCAAGAGCGGATCCAAATCCTTATAATGGGATTTTGACTCGTTGACACGTGTGCACTTAAAACAGGAAACAAGTATCTAAACATCACGTAATTACATGGATTTTTTATTTTATTTTTTCAAAACGAGAAAAGCAATTGAATCAAACTGTAAGGTCATCTTCCTAATACAAAAACGAGAACTGTTATTTACACTTTAAAAATTTTATTCTACATTTTTTATAATTATATTTTTCTTTCTAATTATAAAGTTTAGCGTGTAAAAAACAATTTCCTATAAAAAAAAATTAGGGGACTTTAACGAAAAGCTCCCCGTATTGTTTACTTTAACGAAAAACCATATTTTTACACTAAAAAAATCAATTTCGGTACTATTTATTTTACCCTTTATTTTGTCATTTTAGTTAAAACTCAAAGTTTTCAAGCCATTTTCATTAGTTTTCCTAAAAAATTATGCTTCCAATCTCTTTCTTAGATTCCTTTTCGTTATTCGGGATTTGTATTAAAGTGGATGAATCTAAGTCAATTATTATGAAGAAATTGTAACAATGGCCCCACAACTTTAACTTAATTGGAGTAATGGTCTCTTAACTAAAAATTCATGATCATTGGTCTCTTAACTCATCAAAACATGCTGCTATGGTCATTTTTTTCAACTCCGTTAGAACTTCCGTCAAAATGAGTCATGTGTTTGCGCATGTGAGGCTGAATAAAAGGCAAATAAGGAAAACCAAATGAGAAAAATTGTTACAATGCTCTTTGAAATTTAATCCAGTTCGAAAAATAGTCCCTCAACGTTAATCCAATTGGAGCAATGGTCTCTCAACTTTAATCCAATTGTAGTAATGGTCTTTCCAACATAACTCATTTTGATGGAATACTGATGGAGTTGATGAAAATGACTATAGCTGTACATTTTGATGAGTTAAGGGACAAATGGTCATGAATTTTTAGCAATGTTCTAAAGGACGCTAGGCGTTTGTCAGGCAGCAGGCTGGGGCCTAGCGCCTAGGCGGCAAGGCGGGCGCCTAGACTGACTAGGCTGATTTATGTAAATCTATTATATTTCTTGTAAATAAGTGTCAGTTTATACTTAAAATATAAACAATTTCATTATAAACTACAAAATAGAATGACATATATATTATGAAGTATTGGAACATTGTGAAAACACAGAGAACAAACATATAATGTGTGTTCATTTAAGTCTACAACAAGTCGCTTACAATTTATTGAAAAGAAATAAAATGTAAAATGAAAGTTATCTATTTTCTGTCTAAGTGAGTCGAAACCTAGGCAAGTGCCTAGGGTCTGGGTGGGTTAGGCGGGTGCCTTAGCAGGTCTATGTTGTGACAGCCCGTTCCAGATTTTCGAACCGTAGGGGTGAAATGACGATTTTGCCCCTAGCATGGCTGTTTCATTGTGTGGTTGTTTTTGGGATTTTTGTTGGCAGGTTCTGGGCCACACACACTCCCCCATACCTCCCTCACCCTTTCCCTGCCCTGCACCCCTGTCCCGAGCCTTTCTCTCTCCCATTTCCATCCCCATTTGTACGGACACACCCCAAAACCCTCCAAATCTTCACAGATCGAGGAAACAAAGTATATATTCATGCTTGTGAGGTCTGTAGAAGTTCAACCATACCCATTTCAGGTAAGGATGCCTTCGTTTTCACGTCGAACTCGGGATACCCCGATTTTGTCACTGTTCATGCACACGTTAATTCTTGTGTTTTTGGGAATTTCAAGCTTGTAGGAAGCTTGGTGAGGTCCTTAGGAGGCTCGGGGTGGTTCGTTTGAAGGTTTTGGACGTCGGGATCGTGAGTTTCAAGGTTGGCCGGAGTTGGTGGTGTTTTCCCGGCGAGATTCCATGGATTTTAGTGCTTGAAAGTGGTATGGATTTGTTCCTCTCGTTGTAAGCTTCATTTTGGTACCAATTTTGTGAAATTTGGTTGAAAAACGAAGAAGATATGAAGTTTTGAAATTTTCACGATTTTCGGGCGCCAACGACGGCGCCGGAGCCTCGCCGGAGAAGACGACGGAATATTCTGTCAGTTTGGACGGAATATTCCTAACGGCGTTAACGGAATTCGTTAAAGTTAACGAAATATTCCTGACGGCGTTAACTGACGCCGTCAGTGTGCCAGGCACGTGCCTGCGTGTGGGGACGTGTGCGACGGTGGAAAATTTTTCTAAAAATATGGGGATGTTCCTGAGGTTGAGTAGATCACGTTGGTATATTCATACACCCCATTTGAGCATTGTATGAGAAGTTATTTCATAAGGTTGGTTATGTGCTTTAAAATTAATGTTTTTATAGTTGTTTCGCATATAGGTGAGACCTACCCCGAGGACAAGCGCGGTCACTCGAGGACGAGCGCGGTCACTCGAGGCAAGGGGGTTACGACCCTTCTACATACCAGTGAGTGGGCTTTTGGTTTTCCGTATATACCTATATACTTATGTTTTTCCCAGAAATTGATTTGAAACATTATACGTTTATATACCATGCTTATTGTTTGCCATTTATTTACGCATTATTAGTCGCATATGTTTATATATGTTTGGTGCTGCGGACGCATAGGTAAGTGCCAGGTGAGTTATGATTTATGTTACGTTCAGTAGCGATTTGAGATGCATAGAGAGCTCATAACCTGCACTCCCGGTGTTAGTGCTCCCGACCAGAGTTGGGCACAGTCCTTCACGTGATGTTCACATCCCGCACCACACGCTCATCTTGGATCCAAGTTAGGTGCACAGTCCTGTCGTACAGACCATTTTAGGTGGTTCCGACTCGTAAGTGACCCGCGATTCGTCGCCCAGCCTTCACGTGATCGTAGCACTTGAGCGTATATATATTACACCTAGTCCTGTCGTACAGACCACCCTAGGTGGTTCCGACTCGTGTGCAGGTACAATTAGTGAGATAGATATTTGAGCTCTAGATTCAGCCGTACAACTCACGTTAGGTGACTCCGGCTGACAGCTTATATAACATCGATTTGACGTTCCTGAGCACTTGCATTCTATTTAGAGGCATTTGGCATGGCATATATTTCTGAGCATGACTTATCTATATGTATATTCTACTTTTCTGAGAAGTATACAGGTTTTACGGCGAGGGGTTAGAATCTTGTTTTTGAAATGGTTTTTGAAAAACTTTGTTTTTGCCCACTCACGCTTTTGTTTTGCGCCCCTCCAGGTTCTAGTTGGCTAGCACTTTTGGTGGCTCCCCAGAGGATTTCCCCGACATATCTGACAGATTATCACCAGTGTAGGACCACCTTTGGGTGTGTTTATGTAGTATTGTTTCCCCCGGACTGCATTAGGTCTTCATGCTCTGAACTTTGTTTTCACACTTACGCTTGCACATGTATGTTATTACTTTGTGTAAAGCTGGTTTTTATTTATTCGTACTTTTATTTTTATTTTATTAGCTTCCGCACTGTGCACATGGTTATGTCACTTCCACGTAGCGGCCAGCATGCCCTGATCTCGGTCGGGGTGTGTCATATGTGCCATTTCTTAATTTTCAAATGTCTAGACATTAATCGTGGCGGTGGTTCGTCACGTAGCGCTTAGGCAGCGTTAGGCGGGGATTTTTAGTTAAGAGATCATTGCTCCAATTAGGTTAAAATTAAGAGATCATTTCTAGAAATTTCTCCTATTATTACCTTCAAGTACCTTTGATGAGTCAATTTCATATTATATATTTTACCCTATTCTTAGTATATTTTGGTTAATATTTTGGAAGAATTTTGATACTTTGAATTGTATTTCCAATATAGGACTTTCGACTTCTTTTGGAGCAAAACATCCTCAAATGGATGAATTTTGGAGTAATTCAAGTTGGAAGACGATCGTGAGTCACTTAGCTTGATCGTATCAAAATATCAGATTTTTCTACCAAGCGATGATTTTTTGGCAATAAAATAAAGGAGCAATGTGCAATGCTAGAATAATGATGTTTTGGGCTTGAATTGTGTTTTTGGAGCTCAAGATGACCTCAGATGGGTTCATGGCCTTCTGGAGATTTGTTCAGAACGTCCTGATCTTCAAAACAAGCTATTTTGGGCCGGATTTGGAGGAGATTTGAGGCTAAAACGTGGCTAGACAATTACTTGGCAGATTCTCCTAGTTTAATAAGGGCTATATTTTATAAGATATTTTATTATTATTTGGTTTCCTAGTTGGAATAAGAGGCCTATGATTTAGGGTTTGTGCGATGGCTTAGCAAATATATTGCTTGGCCGTTCTTAGTCTTTTCTACACTTATTATTATGCAACTTTGGAGACAGAGAGCATTGCTAGGGTTCTTGGAGATTTTCTACTTTAAGGTGTTTTCATTTCTTTTATTCTTAATAATATTTTCGGTGATTTCAATTATGAATATGCGTAACTAATTCCTTTTACTAGGGTGAAGCCTTGAGCCTTAGCATGAATATGTAATTTTTATTTAATTGCTTCTGATTGATTGCATGCACACTTTGAATTATTAACCACCGTGATTAAAACTATCTAATTGTCTTAATGCCTGATCACTATTAGGATCTTTAGAAAAATAATTTGATGCAATTTTGGTTGGAAGGTTCCCTGAAATTGGCGCTGGTTGCTTGTGATTAATAATTGTAATTTCATTTAGGATGAACACCACATCCTAAGGGTTGCATGGTTTTTCAAAGGGTTTTCATAAAGCATAATGAGTCTCTCGTGTTTAGATTTGATCCGAACGTCCGGACGGATTGCATGTTAGATATACGTTCTATGTTAGAGGTTCCAAGTAGAATATGAATTAGGAAAACCTAACCTTCAAAGTGGCATGTGTAGATCATAAGT